AACATCTCTAAACTTTTAAAGGAGACTTAGTCATTTAAAACCTGCTTCAAGGCTTACAAGGGCATCTCAAAGTTTATACAGTATAATACTATATTTAATTGGTTCACCTCTATATTAATTTTCAGTCCATCCTGGCTTGTACTGCACAATGGGTTGGATACAGACAAGAATTGGGTTACCTATGGCTACTGAAAGATGTCTTTTATGTTTCTCTGTATTATGCAAATGTTACTTTTGGCACTTTCTTTTGCCTATAACAAGAATGATTTGGCACAAGAAAAACTAGGGCTACCTCCTTGAATCAGATGTATGCAATCTAGAAAAACAGTTCCAGTGAAGTTTGGTCTGAATTCTGATCAGTTTACTTCCTATCTATAGGTATGTGATATGATGCCTCCCTTCCTTCTGAAAACTGAAAATCAGGTATGGGAAACTGGAAAGGAAAGAGGACTGTTTCTGTTTGTAATAGAACAGCCTTCATTCAAGACAGACTCAAGAAATTATTGTTTTAAGGTCCTTTTCCTGGGCTGTGCCTAGCTAACCTGTGATGATAAATCTCTTCCAGTCAATGTTTATTGAGAACGTTTGGGTTTTGTTCAAACTTTATCTATATATTACACAGTAATTAAAGGTACCAGGCTGGTACAACTGACCTTCTTGGGTGGTTAATAACCATACTTAGAGGCCCATACTAATCTGGACAAAGGGGCTTAAAGGACAGTTTTGTTCCTTGCCCTGGAAGGTCAACAGTGTCCCAGGGGACTATGGGAATCTCTTGATATGTCCTGTAACTATGATGAGTCACCTGTCCTCTTGTTCAGGGAGGTCATGGAGACCCCACCAGAGGGACTCAAACAAGTGTTGAATCTGCAAAGAGGAGGGTCAACACAGAGGAAACATTTCCTCCATGCTTCCAAGCAAAGCCCAGATCGAGCAGGACCTCTTGACTTATCTTCAGGTAGATGGAACTGGTACGATAGAGTCAGAGGCTCCTCCCAAGCCCATGTGACCCCTGAGGACCAGATCCTCAACCAACCTTAAAGTAAAAATAAACTGGTTTATTTGGGCCAACTGTGTGGTCTTAAACACCCAAAAGGAAAGTATAACCAAAATTATAATGATCAGTATATTTCTTTAAGAGTCCAAAGGATTGCATTTCCCAGACATTAGACTTAAGTCCAGGTAAAATGTTATTTAGACAATTATTTCTCAGTAGTGATTTTGTTCTTAACAAGAAAATGCTGCTCAGGTGTAAGACTTCAAATCTTGGTCTCCAATACTATAGTGCCCACTTGCAGCTACTATTGTTCTAAAATGATGGCTAAATTTATTTTCTCTCCCTGTCTAGAATACTGATTCTAGCCACTCCAACAGCTATTACAGTACCTGAGAACAAATCCTGAGTTCATCACTCTTGAGTCCAGTCTTGGCGGCCTGAAGAAAAATGAAGAACCCAATAGATGGATGCTTTTAGAAGCCATTTAAAATGGACTTTAATTTGGACATTTAAAATTTGCCCTGTTCTGATTTTTTCTGGTTCCGTCTAGAACTTGTAATGCTAACTATTCTTGCCTTTACTTCTCCTTCATGTCTCCCAGACATTGGTCAAGGACTTCCTTTTCTCTCTACAGTTCTTCTGTTGCTTTGCTCTGTACCCCAGGGCTTTGATCACCTCACTCTAGAGTGACCAACCTCTGGAAAAACCAGCTGGTATCAAAACAATATCCACAAAATCAAGGTGCCATTTTACAGTGTATACTGTCCTTACTTTTTACTTTAATGTGTATGAGTGTTGTGCCTGCACGTAAGTGCAAGTGTCATGCAGTGCCCGAGGAGGTCAGAAGAGGGTATCAGAGCCTCTGGAACTGGAGTTACGGACAGTTGTTAGCCGCCATGTGGGTGCTGAGATTCAAACCCAGGTCTTTTGTAAGAACACCCAGTGCTCTTAATGGCTGAGCCATCTCTCAGCCCCAGTGTATCCTTTCTTAATACCTATGAAGTCCACTCCTAGGGTATTACTCCAACAATTTGAAAGAAGATTACAGATAGGACTCGGATCCAGGCGACCCCAGACCCAGAAACCATGAGGCTCCTGGGAGGAGCTGAGTCAACCAACTCCCAGCCACCTACAGGTTAACAGAGGCAGCTCATAGAAGTTTATGACCAGTGTATTGCAATTGCCGGAGCATGCCCCGAGGGCTAACAAACATGTTTTCCAAGCCCTTGGCTTCGATCAATTCCTGGAACCCTGTGATTGTGGAAAAACATGTTTTACAGTAGCCCAATATGCTTCACCTGACCCCACGCCCTCCATCGAGCAACCAGCCCCTAAAACAGTCCCTCCAAAAGCAGAAAATATTTCTTTTTCCACATTCTTGCCCTTTATAAGCTATCCCTCTGCGGCCATTAGGCTGCTGGTTCTTCCTCATACCCGAGTTGGGGACCAGCCCCACCAAACCTAATTAAACTTGCTTTGCCAGAGTCCTCTGTTTCTGTTTAGTAGTGTTCCCTGCAACCTTTTTATGTAACAATTACCTCAGTCTCCAAGGTCAGAACTTAACTCCTTCCTCTCCTGTGCTCTACATCAATTACCAATTGTATCAAATCTGTTTCCTAAATGTACTTTAATCAGTCCTTCTATCCTACAGTCACTCTTTGCATGGAGATTACAATGATACTGTTTCTTTCCTAGGACATTCCATGGGCTTCCAGTCCAGACCCATCCAGTTTGGTCACCATGCAGTTGTCAGGATGGCTTTTGAAACAGCAAAGCCATTCATGTCACCACCTTACATGGTTTCCTAGAGTTCATATTACTGGAATCAAGTCCAGCGAGATGGCTCAGCAGGTAATGCTGCTTGCTGCCAAGTCTGATGACCTGAGTTTGATCCCCAGGACCCACATGGTGGAAAGAGAAAACTGACTCCTGTAAGTTGTCTTCTGACATCCACATGCTCAGTGTGACACAGGTACTGGCACACATACACAAACATACAAGAAAATTATTTTTAAAAAGTCAAGTTTCCATAGTACCACCTGGATTCTACAATAGATTCAGAAATGATAGTTTCAGACCAGAGCTCCATGTGTCAGAGCTGAGAGCTGCAGGTCCGAGATCTCCCACTGAGATGTCTGTACACTCAAAGCACATGGAAAGTGGCATGTTATCTCAGTAGGGCAGCCTCTAGGTACAATTTTTGGCCTCTAGGTAGAATTTTCAAAAATGGTGGCATGTAGGAAACCAGGATGCCAGGGCCTAGGGTGAGATGAGCCTAAAACCTTTAAGTCCAGGCTGCATTCTCTGCTAAAGGGAGGGGCACTGAAAACAGTACCTCTGATAATCCCTATCTTGCAGAACACTGTGAAACTGGCAGAACAGCAGCCAGGTCATAAGGCCAGGCGCCTTGCTCTGGCGCTTTAGTCAACAGCATCTCCGTCCAGAACAAATAACTCAGCTGTCATTAGCTAAGAGATTAGGCCAGGTTAAAGGTTTACTCCTGATCTAAAAGCTAAAAGTTTACCATGCTTTTAGCCCTAAGAAAGAAAACATTGTGGTCAATAAATGAGGACTGGCATTGGTAACCTTGAGTAAAAGTTTAAGCATCCTTCAGGTGCCAAAAGGGCATCCTGTTTCTTTGTGCCCTAAATCTTTGTATGTGACTGCCATATTCCATGTGACTGCCAGTTCCTTATAATTTATAAAAACCATCTGAATTTTGTAATAAACGGCTTGTTGTAAAGACACAAGTCCCAGGGTCCAAGACTCTGTCACCGGTAGGTATTGCCATCCATCACAGAGCAAGATTCCTGGCTGAGCAAGGCACACTTGGGTCTCTCGATAGTGGTACCATTTTGTTTCTGGAGATGCAGTCAGTACACAGGCATTTGCACCTTTAGACATGATGTAAACAAATAACCAACTGAAAAATATATTAAAATGATAGTTTTAGCCAGGCATGATGGCTTAGACCTATATTCCTGGCACTTGGATGAATCAGGATTAGGAGTTTGAGGCCAGCCTTGGCTATATATCCATTGCAGGTCGTCTCATAATTACGTATTTCCAAGAGGCTCAGCAGGAATATAATCTTTTAAAATATGTATTTATATGTACATACACATATGTGCAGGTGCCTGTAGAGACCAGAAGAAGGCACTGGATCCCCTGGAGCTGGAGTTACAGGCAGTTGTGAGCCACCTGAGGTGGGTGCTGGGAATGGAATACAGGTCTTATGCAAGAGCAGAAAGTTCCCTTATCTGCTGAGTCTTCTCTAGAGCCCTATAATTATCTAACTTATTCTAAAACATAACAAATGTGTGAACTATTAGAATGGCAATTGCAAGGGATACTACTGGTGAATGATGAGCTGTAAAAAAGGAGATAAAAAGCAGCTCTTTATAAAAAAACAGGTATGTTGTTTTTGGAGGTGAAAGTGTTACAGGCACTAAAAATTAGGAATGTAAGGTTCATTTGTAGGCCAGGATCAAAAACCTCTCGAGTATAGAACTAATCACATGACCTAAGATGTTTAGAGTGGTCCTCAGGTGCTCTGGTAATAAAGGCGTCCACAACATAAGACAAATTGCCCTAAGGGACAGGGATTCAACAAGATCTTTGACACAGAGTCTGCATAGCAGGAAGTGTATAACCTGGCACGGTGGCTCATCCATCAGCATGGTTCATAGGCATTTCCAGAACTTAATTATCTGTCCCTGGAACCTCCTCTTCCAGTGCCCTACAGGAAACAGACCTGCAGGGCTGGAGAGATGGCTCAGCGGATAAGAGCATTCGCTGCTCTTACAGTGGACCAAGACCGGGGTTTGGTTCCTGGCAACCAAATGGTACCTCACAACCATTCATAAGTCCAGATCCAGGGGATCCGACGCCCTCTTCTAACCTCCACAGGCACTGCACGCTTGGGTGCACTTACGTACAAAACATTATACACAGAAAATAGAAATAAATAATAAAAAATAGACCTGCACATCAGCCGAAGGGACAAAATCCTAGTGACCTGGGCTTAGCGGGAAAGGTCTGTAACCCGGCTTAGCTTCAAGTTTTATTTCTGCTCTTGGTCTGGGTGACCAGAGGAGGATAAACCTCCCTCTTTCGGGCACCTAGTCATGACAGCTTGTCCCGCGAGAGTGAGGCGGCTGGGCCTGAGAGCGCCCGAGGAAGTCCGGTTGGCGCAGGGATCTCGCTCCTCCTCTAGGAAGGAGCCAGTGAGGGTGAAGACCCAGCTCGGTAAAGTTCACCTGGCAACCGGCTTATTCTCAGGTCTACGTTGGCTGGGGTTAGAGACAAGGCCCCGCGAACTTCCGCAGATCCCCAGACGCAGGTCCTGGCGCCCTCGCCATGAGCGGTTCGCTGCGGCCCGGCCCGAGCCGCTGGCGGCGGGCGGCCACCGTGGTGCTGGCGGCCGCCTGGCCGCATGCGAGTCTCGTCGCCCCGCCGCCGGCCGAGGGCTTCCGGCTGCTGCTTCTGGAGCGCGGCCGGAAGCAGGGCTTCTTGCCCGGCGCGCACGTCTTCCCCGGCGGCGTGCTAGACGCGGCCGACTGCTCGGCGGACTGGCTGCGTCTGTTCGCGCCGCACCACGGGCCGCCTCGTTTCGGCCTCGGCCCCGCGCCCCCTTCGCGAACCCTGTTCCCGGGGCTGCCAGACACCCGGCCCGACGGAGACCCCGCGGCGCTGCCTGATGACGTAGCGCTGCGCATCTGCGCCATCCGTGAGACCTTTGAGGAGGCGGGTGTGCTGCTGCTGCGGCCTCGGGACTCAGTGCCCGGTCCTCCTGAGCCCTGCTGCGCCCTCCAGCCGCCGCTGGGTCTGGCCAGCTGGCGGTCGCGCGTGCGCAGTGACCCGCACTACTTCCTGCAGCTGTGCGCGCACCTGGACTGCACGCCGGACATCTGGGCGCTGCACGACTGGGGCGGCTGGCTTACACCGTTTTGGCGCTCCAGCCGCCGCTTCGACACCACCTTCCTCCTGTGCTGCCTGCGCGAGCCGCCGCCCGTCGACCCCGACCTGTCGGAGGTGGTGAACTACAAGGTAGTGGCCTGTGGGACCCTGGGATGGGTTGGGCCCAGGGAGAGGGGTACCGAGCTGGAGTGGGACCCTGGTCTCAACTCCCGTCCTCAACCCGTGCCTAAGGCACGATCTTGGCCTCTACCAAGAGCGCTTAAGCTGTACTTTATACATTAATGAATGCACTTCACCCTCACTTTAATTTGGTTTCTTAGGAGAACATGGTTTTTAAAAATACTTTATTAGCCGGGGCGTGGTAGCACACGCCTTTAATCCCAGCACTTGGGAGGCAGAGGCAGGTGGATGTTTGTGAGTTCGAGGCCAGCCTGGTCTACATAGTGAGTTCCAGGCCAACTGGGGCTACAGGGAGACCCTGTCTCAAAAAAACAAAACAAAAAAAAAACTTTATTAAATTTTATGTGTATGAGTGTATTGCCTGCGTAAATGTAAGTACACCTGTGTTGTGCAATGCCTTTGGAAGTCAGAAGAGAGCGTCGAATCCCCATGAACTGGTTGTTAACCACCATGTGCGTGCTGGGAACTAAACGGGAGCCTCTGCTAGAGCAGTCAGTGCTCTTAACTGCTGAGTTGGGTAGGTAGTGCACGCCTTTAATCCTAGTACTTAGGCGGTAGAGGCTGGTGGATCTCTGTGAGTCTGAAGTCAGCCTGGCCCACGTAGTGAGTTCCAGGAAGGGATTGGGCAGTATGATGTTTAGTTTTAATTATCAACTGGACACAGCCAAGTGTGTCAAATAAGTCCTAGAAATGACCTAGATAAGAGTCCCTATGAAGGATTGTTAGATCACGGTGACCTGTGGGCGTGTCTGGTGGGTTATGGTGATTAGATTAATGGCTATGAGAAGAACCAGCCCACTGTGGGCAATGCCTAAGCAAGGGATCCTGGACTGTGTAAGTGTGGAGAGGGGGTTGAGCATGAGCAGGTATGCATACATTCATTCTCTCTACGTTTTTTAATGTGTATGAGTGTATTGCCTGCACACATGTAAGTGCTCACATGTCAAAGAGGATTCCCTGGAACTGGAGTTACAGATGGTTGACAGCCAGCATGTGGGTGCTGGGAACTGAACCTGGGTCCTTCGCAAGAGCAGCCAGTGTTCTTAACCACTGAGCCATCTCCCCAGCCTCCGTTCACTCTGTCTTTGATTGTGGATGTGACTAGCTACTTCAAACTCTGCCACTGTGACCTCCACTTCCTTGCTGTGATGAACTGTAATCTAGAACTGTGAGCTGAGGTAAACCCCTTTCTCTCCTAAGTTAGTTTTTGCCAGGGTATTTTATCACAGCCACAGAAATGAAAGTGAAGCTAAGACAGTTTAGGATAGGGACCCCAAAAGCAGTGGTCCCATTCTTGTCCTTGGCCAGAGGGCAGGAAAGCCAGAAGGGAACCTTTTTATCTCCTCCTAAGTGAGGACCCCTGACCAGAGGCTACGTAAGGTTCTGAATAAAAGTCCAATGCAGATACTAACCCGTTCTGGTAGGCAGCTTTGGAATTTATGGATTTTCATGAAAAAAAATGGGTTATATCTATTCCCCAATTCATCCCATTTCCTAAGTGATTTTAGGGTCTGTATTTTTCTAAATTTTATTATTTTTATTTTATGTGTATGAGTGTATTGTCTGCATGTATGTAAGTATACTCATGTTGTGCATGCCCTCGGAGGTCAGAAGAGGGCATCAGATCCCCTGGAACTGGAGTTACAGATGGTTGTGAGCCATCATTTGGGTGCTTGGAACTGAACCAGGGTCCTCTGCAAGAGCAGCCAGTGCCCTTAACCACTGAGCCATCTCTCCAGCCCCAGTGCCTTGTCATTTTTGATTGCATGTTGAATATTGTGATTTCATGTTGTTGAATGTTGAATTTTGTCCTATTCCTTTAAAGAGTGTTGAACCTTTCCTGGCAGGCTTATTAGAAATTTACTTCATCCTTTTGAGGTTTTAAATGACTCGGGGTGGGGTTTGGCAGTTACATACAACAGGAAACAGGACATACAGCTTTTAGTTAGTGCCAGCTAGGGGCTGTTTGTAAAGCAGGATGCTTAAACTTTTACCAGTGCCTATCTGGTAATTTATTGGCCACAATGTTTTCTTTCTTAGTGCTAAAAGCATAGTACACTTTTAGTTTTTAGCCCAGGAGTAAACCTTTAACCTGGCCTATTCTTTTAGTTAGTGATAGCTCAGTCATCTGTTCTGGACAAGGAGGTTCAATAAGGCTGTTGACCAGGATGTTCTCCCTTGAGGAAGACGCTTAAACTTTTGACCTAGCCATCTTTCTTCTGCTAGCTTGTAGTGTTCTGCAAGACAGGGATTATCAGAGCTGCTGTTTTCAGCACCACCCTCCCCCCACCCCCGCCTTTAGCAGAGAATATAGCCTGGACTTAAAAGTTTTAGGCTCATCTTGCCCTAGGACATGCCATCCTGGTTTCCTATACTACAGACAGTTTTTGTTTTCTTTTTTTCTTCTTCTTTTTTTTGGTCTTTTCGAGACAGGGTCTCCCTGTAGCTCCATGTATTAGTCACTTTTCTGTTGCTGTGATAGAAACACTGACCCAAGCAATTTATAGAAGGAAGAATTTATTTGAGCTTACGGTTCCAGGGGAATTACAGTCTGTCTTCCAGCAGGCACAGGAAACAAGAGAGCGACCAGCGATCTGGCAAGGCTTAAGAACTCTCTAAGCCCACCCCCAGTGACATGCTTCCTCCAGGATAGCCACACCTTCTAAAACCTCCCAAAACAGTGCCACCATCTGGGGACAGAATGTTCAATCAAATACTTGGAGCCTATGGGGGACATTTTCATTCAAACCACCACACTCCAGCTGCCTGGAACTTGCTCTGTAGACCAGGCTGGCCTCGAACTCTCAGAGGATCCACCTGCCTCTGCCTCTGGAGTGCTGGGATTAAAGGCATGCACCACCATGCCCGGCTTAGAGACAGTTTTTGTTTTCACAGCTGGGGAATTACTGCTAGCATCTAATGGCTAGACCCAAGCACACTGTTGAACATCCCTCTTTTAGAGCATAGGACAGCATTCCACAACAAATAATTAGCTAGGAGGGCTGGAGAGATTGCTCATCAGTTAAGAGCACTGGTCACTCTTGCAGAGGACCCAGGTTTGATTCCCAGCACCCACATGGTGGCCAACAACCACCTATAACTCCAATTCCAAGGAATCCAATGCCCTCTTCTAACCTCCACTGGTATTGCATGACACAGGTGCATTTACATGCATGCATGCAATACACTCATACATGTAAAATAAAAATAATATATAAAAAAATTTTTTTAAGTTAACTAGACTAGAGCCAGAAGTGCTGAGCTCCAACCATCTAGAGGAAACAGTAGAATTTGAGCCAGATACCCCTAGAGCTTGAAGCCCAGATTTTTCTAATTAGAGGGATTGCGTTTCCTTGTTTATAAAATGGAACTTTGTCCTGTTATGCTAAGGACTAGGAGTATTTTGTGTAAAGTATTTTGAGCGACCATTACTGGCAACAAGTAGCTGGAAGGTATGTTATTGTAACTCACACAGAACTAAGAAAGCAGAATGCCCCAGAAGGGACTTAGAAAGATTGGGTATCTTAGAATCCAGACCTTTGATTTGCAAAATGCAGCCATGAGCCTCTTCAGAGTGATGAGAGGTGCTTATTAAGCTCAGATTGTGGACCCTCTACCAGGGACATGGGAATATAAGGATTTAGCAGGCTTCTCAGTGAATGAAGTTTAAGCACACACAGGCTGGCAAACCTTTGACCATAGTCATCCAAGGCAGAAGTCAGTTTCAACTTCAACTCAGTCTCAGTGTGTTCAGCATTTAATTATGATGTATATTCCTTCCTCTTCCTCTTCTTCTCCTCCCCCTACCTTCTTTCTCTGCCTCCTCCTTTTCCTAATACTGTGCTGAAGATTGAACCCAGGGCCAGGTTCTCATGTATGCTAGGTAAGTGCTCTACCACTGAACCACACCCCCAGTCCTCACTGGTGGATTCTAGGCAGGTGCTGTACCACTGAGCCCCTCCCCAACCCTCAGGGGTGCATTCTAAGCAAGTGTAAGTGTACCATGTGCCTGCAGTGCATACAGAGGCCAGAAGAGGGTGTCAGATCCCCTGGAACTGGAATTATGGATGGTTGTTAGTGGCCATTTAGGTGCTGGGAACTGAGCCCAGGTTTTCTGCTAGTGCAGCCAGTTCCTTAACCACTTAGGCATCTCTCCAGCCCCTCAACCTGCTGTCTTATGTTTGAGTCATCTTTTGGGAGTGACCAGAACTGCTTTGCCCTCTAAGCATCTCCTGCCTTTATACAGAACAATGCTGCCAGCTCAAGCCTTTGGTGAACTGTTGTGTTAATTAGCTCTTGGGGGTCAGTGTCACAGCATCACTCTCTTAGGAGAATCAGCATATCCTTTATTTTCTTTTTTATTATATAACAAACATAGCAGGTCTCACTAGGTTTGTTGCCCTGGCTGGTCATGATTAAGTGGGAGGATAAGCATATGGCACTGTCCCTACGCCTCCAAATGTTCTCAGAGATCTAGCAAGGCCTAGATTTTACAACATTCAGGTAGATTGTAATGATTGAGTAAACCCTACAAAGCCTCCTTTGTCTCCCACAGTGGTCATCTCCATCAGAGGCAACTCAAAGTTTCATGTCAAAAGAAATTTGGTTGGCACCACCACAGTTCTATGAAGTCAGGAGGCTTGGAAACTTTGCCTCTCTCTCTGCCCTGCACAGATTTTGTTTGGATCGTGGATTAGAAGGGGCTGAGAGATGGCTGCCCATCATGTATTTAACTGCTGATAGTTCGGTTCAACTTCTACCTGGTAAGTGAGTGAAGCACCAATTCTTTTGTTGTTTTTGATGTACAATACATGGGGCTACCTGGAAGCATTGCCCAGCATAGAGACATGAATCACGGTCTGGGTTTTATAAGCCTATGCCTACAGACCTGTCCAACCTGTGGCCTACAGAACACATGCCAGGCTAGCTATGAACACAGCCCAACACAAAAATCACAGACTTCCTTAAAACATTATGAGGTGTGTGTGTGTGTGTGTGTGTGTGTGTGTGTGTGTGTGTGTGTATGTGTTTGTAACTTTATTGTGTGGTTCTTAAGCATGGACTTTGTAGATGACACCGTCTATCACAGTGTCTAAAGGTTGTTCATGCCTGGTGGGTTATTAATTAAAACAAGTTCAAAGTCTTATAAAATATGCATAGTTTTCTAGTGTTCATTCTGTTGCTGTGACAAATACAATGACCCAAAGCAATTTAAGTGAGGAAAGGGTTCATTTCAGCTTATAGGCTTCAGTGCAAGAACTCATGCAGAAACTGGAGCAGGCCTGCTTGCTTGCCTCTGCACAGCATTATCTTTGAGCAAGGAACTCACTTCACGGCCAAAGGAGTACAGTGGGAGCCATGGAGGGTGCTGCTTGCTCACAGTACAGCACGAACCATGGAGGGTAGTCCACAGAGGCTCACGCTTAGTTAGCTTTCTTTTCGTTTTTCCTTTTTGAAACAGGGTCTCCCTGTAGCCTGAGCTGGCCTGAACTTACTATGTAGACCAGGCTGACCTCAATCTCACAGACATCTGCCTGCCTTGTTTCCCAAGCACTAGGACTAAAGGTGTTCACCACCATACCTGGCCATTAGCTGGTTTTCTTACATAGCCCAGGACACCTGCCCAAAGAATGGCACTGCCCACAGTGGGCTGGGCCCTCCTGTCCATGAACAATCAACACAGTCCCCCACAGACATACATGCAGGCTGATCTGATCTGAGAAGTCCCTCAATTGAGACTCCCTTCTTAGGTGACTCTAAGCTGAACCGTTTTGACAGTTAAAGCTAACTCTAGGACACATAGTATTTATTTGTATTTATTTTGAGACAAGATCTTACTGTGATCTGAGATGGCCTAGAACTGTATGTTTCCTAGCTGGTCTCAAACTTGTAATCCTCCTGCCTCCATCAACCATGTGTTGGGATTACGTGTGTGTACTACCATGCCTGGCCCTATAATGTTCCTTATAATGGGAAATCCTGAGTTTATAAACATAAGCATTTTATTTAAAAAATTTTTGAATTGTTATAACTTGTATTTGAATTGTTATAACTTAATTTATTTGAATTAAGAAATTTGTTGATGGTCAGTTCTAGTTTGGCAAGCATTGGTTAGAGTGCTGTTGCAGACACTATGTAGCTCATGCCTGCCTGCTCAGTTCCTCATAATATTGATAAGACTTGTTATTCAGCCTACAGAGGGACAGTCTATCAGTTTGATAGAAGTGATAATTTCT